TTTGATTATTTTCTACTTCTTTGACGACACCGTAATTGTGTTCGGCTTTCGGGTCGCGACTGAAAATAATTTTAACACTTTTTGAGACATCGTTTGGCACAACACTTAATATATCAGTGTTTAAGAAAGTGTTGACCAATACTTCGTCAGCATTTGTTTTGTGGTTGGCTTTCAATTCAATATCGTTTTTACTTTGTTTGTCATTTATTATAAGTTTCCCGAACTCTAAGCTATGGATAGTTTCTATTAAGAAAACAATTATTACAAATTTTAGTAACATTTTATCGAAATTGTGAGTAAAATAAGTTGATAACTATTTTCAAACAAATTCAAATCAAACAATTACTTTATTCTTTTAACTAAACTGAAGAGGTCTGAGAAGTTTATTCATTGGCACAAATGTTTGTGATAATAGTGTTCCCTAATATTAATTACTACATATCTATATTACGTTACATCGATAATCCTTATTACCAGGAACTACGTTAGAATCTATAAATATTATTTGATAAAATTATGCTAAAAGTAGTTTTATAAAAGTACGCTTTATATCATGATAATTTTTGTAATTATCAATTCTTTAAACACTCGATATATTAATTTATATTGGATATTTTCTTCTCAAGAAGTTTTCAACATTAACTAAAGTATACTTGAAATGGGAGGGGGTAAATGGCTAAATGTGATGTAACATCACTGATGTTTATACTATACAACAACAATTTTTCTACAATATTGTCTATTGTCACAAATTCTCACATAATTCAATAATTGAGTTTATTATGTAATTAATTGATATATCAATACATTATCCGTTAGAAAAATTCGTGTTTATAATGTATTGTTTCTTATCGTAAGAATAAGAAATATTGACTTATTGAAAGAATAGATCGCAATCTTTAAATATATTAACTTTAGTCATTAATAACTATTAAACTTTATAAATTATAATCATTGGATTAAATAAAATATTTTAGATTCTAGATTCTAAATCTAAAATAATATGATTATTAATATAGCAATAATTATTAATATAGATATGTATTGAGTACACTAGACATTTTCAAATCATGTAAAATTTTAGATATGAAGAATCTATGTTATAGATTCCATAATATTGATATAACTATAATAATATACTGTACAATATATGCAGAATATATCGTAATGGCACTTGTGTTATTTTATAGATATGCTGTAATTATTGTTACTACAGTACATTAGTATTGTGAGAATTAGTAAACATGTAATATTAATAATAATTGTTGGTATATATCAATTAAACATGTTTTACGTCATTTAATAGCAAAACATTATTCAAATATTGATCTAATAAATGAAATAATAATCATAAAACATACCATAAGACATTTTATTAAATATAATACTGCATACCAGTAATTATTATAATAATAATATCATACAATCATTAGTTTCTTATTGTGTGCACAATTATTTACACAGTATTATAATTTCTAAATAATTAAAATGTTGACAATATTTAACGTTAATAACAAAATAGCATAAATTAATCTAAAATCTAACATAAACTGTAAATAGCGTTGATATGAATAATGCCTTATAATAGTGATTGGTTATTCACTAACTTTTATAGAATTTGTTATTCTTGAATAAATGTATAGAAATGTATTAGAAACCGGTTTCCCATTAATGTTTGCATTAATTACAATATTTTATAGTTAATATAGATATAATGTATTTATTAATTACATATTTAATATAGCGTTACTAATCTGTAGTCTAATTATAATTACAAAACGTTAAAACGAACATGTTCAATTTGGTTCTAATATTGTTTCTGTTTCTGTATGAGTAAAGCGAGATTGTATTGAATAAATTCACGTACTTTTACAGTAACTTTTTATGATTTGTTAACATTTAAACCGTATATTTAGTACCTTTTAATATAAACACAATCAATGAATTGAATGCTATTATATGTGATATAAAAAGTAGCGAAATGTGCAAAAGTCATGCTTTGCTTTGAAACCATGTTTTTATTGACTTTTAAACGATGCCTTATTTTGAGTGTTTTGATCACGTATTTAAGCATTCATTTTGATTGGTTTGTCGCCAACGGATCCCATCTTCTAATCGCCTAATTATCACAATCTTTGGTCCAAAGGATGGGTAAAAAGAAGGATTCCGTCTCTTCTTTGGGCAAACATTTGCTTAAAGAGAGGAAAAAGGATTTATCGAAACATTTGTATAAAACAAATGTAATTATCATTGAATTGATTGGAAGTGAAGAGTGAATCAATTGACTCATTGATTGTCTATTAATTAGAGACATGTCTTGGATTTGGAAGAAGCGAAGAACGCGACGAGTATTACAGAGACGACAACTCTTGAAGAGTTCTTATCGACCGCTGAAATGGCAAACATT